TTGTCTAGTTTGTTTATAGGTTTTTAGAGAATCTAATATTTCAATCAAGTGACCCTGGCAGCCAAGCAGGATCAAGTTGGGGCACAAATCCAAAGTTATCCAAAATGGCTCCAAAACTATTCACTGACATAAATTCAAACATTAAAAATCATCCTGGCAGGACACAGTTTCAATGGTTTCAGAGTTTAATATGAAGGCTAAAATCCTTCTTCTGTAGTAGATGCAGGAGGCTTACCTTGAAAAGGGAAAATTTCCCCACTGCAGTAACACAGGGAACATGTACTGTGTATTCTGAAAATAAGAAAGAAGAAAATAAGGATCTGGGACAAATTTCATTATACTTATTGCATATTGGCCATCATTACTTAGTGTTTGTAAGCTCACTTAGAAGTGATTGTAGTTGATTGTAGTATACATTTGCTGCTCAGAAATGGCTGCTGCCGTTGTTGTCAAAGCACTTGTGCAAGAATATAAGTACCACCTGCCTCTAAATTGCACTAAAGGCACAAAGGGCTGTTTTAGTGGTAGACCAAGAATCTGGTGGACCAGAAAAGTAAGTATCAGCAGAGCTTGCTGCCTCTTGCCTTATTAGCAATGTTTTTCATGGAGGTGTTAACAATTGCAACTCTGAAATGTGTTCCAATGTCATGAGGTTTTCCAGCAGACTTGCAGGAATTATTAAAGGAAAGTGCTTCTTAATGCTCTCATGACCTAATTCCCCGGTCTGTTTTTAATAGAACTGGGTAATTCTCTTTGTTTTCCTTCCACCCCAGTGGTAATAAAAAGAGGCTTTTTGACTTTTCAGATTTTCGGTCAAACTTTTCTCTTGTGGGGGAGGGAGGAATAGATTTCCCTGATTCTGAGTCCTGGAAAATTTAATCTGATCAAAAAATTCTTTGGTTCTCTCTTGGATTTGTAGTCAGTTTAGTTCTGTGCGATGATATCAGGAGCAAAGTAGCAACATGTGATATTTGACTCTGCTTTCACATGCACTCAGTGCAGCTTGCAAATTTAGGGTTGATAAAGGGAAGGTCTGTCTTACCTTACATTGTCTCATTACCTCATGTGCACTTACAAATGAGGTGGATGAACTTGCTTTATCTTTAAGAAGTCGAAATGCCGGGAAGGGAACAACATAAATATGCGAGTTGTGTTTGTTCGGGGTGGTTTTGGAGATTGGTTGGTTATGGTTTTTTTCAATTCTCCTCCCCGCTCCAGTGCATTTTGCCTGTGTGCACCCAGAGCAGAATCAGCAACATCTCCTCACCCTTTCCAACTCCTCCAGCGCTGTAGCCTGGGTTAAAGGACCGCGTGTGGCTTCCCCGTGCATCTTCCCACAGCCATGGGAAAAGCAGCACTGAAAACCTTCTCGTGTGTACCGGATGCAGCGAATGCCATGGGGGCCTGGCTATGAAAGACACAAAAATCTTCCTCCTGGGTGTCCTGATGGGTATCCAGAGCCTTGGATGGGCTCAGGTCTGGTCCATCGCTTCCACCGGCCTGACAGCTCGGACCACGGCGTGGCTCCTGCCGCCTTTCCCGCGGTGTCCATTCAGCAGAGGCATGCGGGAAGCCCCTTGGAGCATCCCCAGCCGCAGCTGCGGGCCTGTGGAAGCCATGGAGCTGTGGAGGAGGCCCTGTTGCGCCGGCAGCGGCGGCGGGGGGAGGAGCCGGAGCCGCTCCCGCTCTGTCCCCTCACGGAGCCGGCGGGAGGCTGCGGGCAGCGGGGCCCCGCTCCGCGCCCGCCGTGCCCCAGGTGAGTTTTCCGCCGCTCTTGTCGCGCTGCATCCCCATCCCCTGCAGCAGGAGGGGTGACTGGGGTGGGAACTGAGAGCAGGCTTGGCAGGCAGGAGGCTGCTCCCGGGTTTACTTGGCGCCTTTTTGTGGATAATGATGGTTTGGGTGTTTTAATCGTAATTTATTAAACTCTGGTGGTGTTTGTGGTATTTCGTTTGCATGGCTGTCTGAGAGCAGAGCAGAGTGCTGAGAGTCACCGAGGCAGCAGCAGAGCTCATGCCATAGGCATGCACGCAGTGTCCCTGTCAGCCAGCTCTCCCTCGCTACCCATTCAAAAACAGCTGAAATGAGAGGATCTAACACAAACCTTGCTGCTTTCGAAACGAGAAAAATGTATTTTAAAGGGAGGTACTAAAATGTGTCTGTTACTTGTGCCTTCAATGGTTTCTCAATCACTGATTTTTGTTGGCATAGAAGGTGAAATTGAAAAATCAAAATAACACAACCCCCCACTCCCCCCCCCCCAAAAAAAAACCCCCCACCCCTTAA